AATTTGGAGCCAATGGAATGTACTCCAAGAAAGGAAGAGGAAGAGATCTTAACGGTTACGTTTTCTTCTCATGATTTCTGCAGGAACACCATCGCTCCTATTGATTTTGCATACTCCTCAGAACCCATGGTGATTCATTTTCTACCACCGGGAGGTTCCCCAGGTTCAGCTCTTTTGGGATATTCAAATTACCCCCCCTCCCTTCTTGTATCTAACTTTAAATATCCCCCAGGAAAAAAACAGAATCAGTCTCAATCAGGGCGTTCCATGGCAATGAAGATACTCTTCCAAATGTTATGGTGGAAGTGCCGAGAGCCCCAAACCTCTCAGGGAAGAATGTAGAACCGGGGGATGTGGGGGGAATGGAATACGCCCCAGGAAAGATCCATCGCCTTACAAATGCCAGAAGAAGAGCTTTGTTGGCTGCTACCTGTTTAACCGCTTCAACTACCTCTGCGTCACTTATGGGCACAACCCCGACGTTATCGTTTTCCTGGGGATACCTGGGATTTACTCCAAAGGTTTCCGACTCAGTGGTTCCTCCTTGAGGTCCCACAGCACGTAATTGTGGTCGCTTAATCGCTAAACTCGCCCAGTCTCGCTCGGACCTCGACCGAAACGAAGGTCACGTCTATTATAGTGGCCTGATCCTCCCATTGCGACCGTGGGCTCACTACTCTTGATCATGGAGACCAATCCCAACGCCTCGGCTCACCCTTCCGGTTGGTAACGAAGGCATTAAGTTCCTCTGCAACAACTGCATGGTGATGCGGCCTCTCCCGCGTATCCATGCACCCATCTACGCATCTCTCTCACTTCCTAACCCCACCTCCCAACCCCCGCACGGATTAAGACCACGCCCACCATGCCTCGGTTGTCTTTACCCCCCAGGAATGGAAAATGTACTAACCGTTTTCAACTGTCTTAGTGGCTTAGATGAACAGCTAATCTCTGTGCTGGGGGGTAAAAATAATACCGAATCAATCGTCCCATTGGAGAGGGGGGGGGTACTCCATATGCCTCTCGGTGCTATGATCTCCATCGAAAGGTTATTTCCTCATCATCCCTCTTTTTTTTTTATTAAGCGGCAGAGAAAAACGATGCAAGCTTTGTAGGGGAGTCCATGGTCCAATGATCCCCTAGGGTCACACCGAGGTGCTATTGCTTGCGCTTTATCTGTCCGTCCGTCCGTGCGAGCCCACTTCTGCCGTTTTAAACTACTCCTAGGGGAATGGTCCTAGAGAGTCCTGGAATTTTTTATAATAGGCAGCCTATACTTTGAAGGTGTGCCAGGCGGCCATCAAATTTTGCTGTCTTAAGCCCCCCCCCATGAATTATTCCCTACGATGCTGTTTTTGAAAGTAAAACGGGCACAACTTTTACGTACGACAACCAATTATTGGTCTCAGATTTTGCACAAGCATGACTTTAGAGGTGCCAAGTGAAACTTTCGAAAATTGGGGGGGGGGGGTAAACACACGTTCTACCCTTCATGGTATTCTATTGAAATGTCTCATCGAAATAAATTGGTTTGTACAAGCTAATACTCTTTTTTGAGCTCAGTGGGTGACGAGGCCATGGGGGAGTGGGGGGGGGGGGCGTGAGAAATTAATTTGGTCTCTCATGGTATTCTAATTAAAGGTCTCAAAGGAATTAATTTCTACCAACCGCATAGTCCTCCTTCTCGATCTCTTATCGTGATCAGATATACTCCCTAAACAACAAACAAAGAAGAACAAGTTATACTCGAAGTTATATAAAAGAAGTGAAGGGAAGTGAAATGAAGTGTATAGAATTTTTTTTTAATTCTTAGAATAGGTTTTCGCGTTTTTTTAGAATGGATAGGTTCGTTTTTTAGGATTTTCTGAGATTTTCGAATTTTTTGGAGATAAGTAGTTGCCATTTTTAGGTAAGAGATGTTTTGGGTAGGTTTAGGAGTTTTTGATTTCTGTTAGCAGTTTTTGGAATTTCTTCAATATTTTTAGGGAAATCTCCCTTTTTTTTTGTTTTTTTTCCAAATCTCATCAGTTGTCTTCACTTTTGAAAACAGAAGGGGGTACTGTAACGGAAGCTTTTATTTTGAATTTAAATGTTTCTCGATTGTAAAGTGTCTTCCCAAACAAATCTTGGTCGTGATGATGTAAAGGTTAATGGTTAATTGCGGCCAACAAAATATGTGTCATTTCTACCTATTTATTTGTACGAGCTTCTGTTCTTTAATAGCCTATGTCTAAGCCTAAAATTAACGATCCTAGCTCGATTTTGATTTTAGGAGAGTGTTTATAATGGCGAATTAAATTTTAAACACGTTCATATTGAGTAGCAATGTGAGTAAGAATAAACAAAAGTGCTATTGTTTGCGTTTTGTCCGTGCGTCCGGATCAACTTCTGCAGTTTTGAACTGCTAGGGGAATGTTCCTAGAGTGCATAACGCATGCATTTAGTGGTACCAAATAAAACTTTTGAAAGGGGGGGGGGGGGAGGACACGTTCTATTCTTCATGGTATTCTAATTAAAGGTCTCATCGAAATAAATTGGTTTATACAAACGACCCTTTTTCGAGATCAGTGGGTGACGGGGCCTCTGGGGGGGGGGGGGGGTTAAATTAATTTTATCTTTCATGGTATTCCAATTAAAGGTCTCAACGAAAGGAACCGTTTTCTACCAACTACCGCCCATTTTCCTGACCTCTCATCAAAAGAGGGGGTTGGTGCGAGTCGGGGGGGGGGGAGAACTGGTTTTATCCTTTATGGTACTGTAATGAATTAATTTCTATCAACCATGTCCTCTTCCTCGACCCCTGATCGTGATCGGATATATTCACTTATATCTCCAGAACGGATTGTCGGAAGAGGGTACTCACAAAGGGCCATTGGGACGTCAAAACGAGTGTCAAAACTTTAAGAGTGAATCGAATATCTCGAAAACGGTATGTCGGAGGAAGCCAAAATGAATCGGCTGGACGAGACGTATCTATTGGTGAAGTCGAAATAAATACCTTGACAACGAAGTGCCCGAAAAGGGTACTCATAAAAGGCAAGTGCTTTCGGGGCAAATATATGTAGAATGAAGTGTCGGAGGATTTCGAATGTACCTATGCACAATGTATACTTGTTTACATTCTTCTTCATTTACTCGTATCGTTTTATGAACTCCTTTTCGTCTACCTTTCTCTTTATTTTTGTTACCATAATTGTCTCTTTTCTCATTTCCATTTTTGCAAGACAATGCCCGCGTATTTTCATACTGATTGAAAATTCCGGAAGTCGACATTTGGTAATCAAATTTGGTACTGGGGTGATCAAACCGAAGATCCGTCATTATTTAACAGCTACCGTTTTCGTTAAAATCATCACCATTTGCAATTCCTGACGCCTCTTGCAAATTGGCCTTTGCCTTAAATCTCTTTTAACACTTTTTTTTTTTTGGAAATGTTACATCGATCACACGACGTACGTAATTTCGCGAATTTATCCCAGGTATATTAAACCAGTTTTTTTAGGCCGAATCTTTTCTTGGCCAGCTCGAATCGACGCGAAACCGGCGCAAGATGGACGCCCAATAAATACTTGGCCGCTTGCAATGCAGCTTGTTGCAGTTTAATAGCGCGCATAATAAATATGAAACGTGCATAATTTTAGTGCCGCCTTTGAGAGTAACCGACATCTTATTATCACATTAAATTTTCTCTTCGGGGCGGACGGGTTGTGCTTTTGGACCGCAAAAAGGTCGCCGAAAAGAATTCATTATTTGGCGCGCCTCTTTTTACACCGTTCCCGTGAACGAGATGCAGCGAATTAATTGCGTGCCATTATTCCATGTCTGCGGGATGCGTTTCGGAATGTCGTTCACACTTTCATTCAAATGTAGCGTTTACCACTTTCAGAGGAAGATTGGCAGAAATTATAGTCCTAGTCGACATGATGGGATGATCATTGCAGAAATCCAAGAGAACTCTCTCTAAGAATAGTCTGTATCAGGAGAGCTGGGCTGTTGGAAGCCACTCAGAAGAATACAGACGGAATTTTAAATCTACCTTGCTTCATGCTCTCCTGATCCAAGCGATCCGAAAATTTCGTTGTGTATCACGGTAAGTTTATTTACTTCCGTTTTTATTTGGAAAGCGGTTCTCAGACTCGAAAATGTTCCTTCGCGTAAATTTATCACTTGTAAATAAAAGGGGTTCAGGCTGCTAAACAGTTTTTTCTCGTGCCGCAATCAACTGCATATTCACACACATCCACAATATTGTTCACAAACCCGAGTTTCTTTAAACGTTTCTCCATGACGTTTAGAAGGTCGCGCCACTTAATATGCTTCTTTACTAGAAGGCAAATAAATTTTATCAACTAATTTCAGGTCCTGGTTCTTGAATTCTAACCGCAAAAAATCGTGAGGATATTTCCCTCAGTGCCGCTAAAATGCCTAATTGTTTCACAAACCGATATTTATACGTGGTCCCCTCTTTCGTTTTTACTTGAAATAAACCAATAAAAATAATAAATTAGTGTAGTCTTTGAATGCTCGCTCTCTAACTTCATTGTCAATTTGAATCGCGCCCATAAGAGAACCCAAAAAGGCACTTCTTCTCTAAATGCAAATGACCTCGACTAACGACGACCAATAGAGCACGTGCTCGGCTTTAGACAGAATAGAACGAGACTTTCATGTCCTAAGAGATCGTAGCAAACGCACTCGCTTTCCCCTATACTTGTTATCGGCAGACATACTATTGTTCATGTTCGCTAAGAAGCGGTATATGTGTAAATTTCCTTATGTTTAATGAAATACCAATTCAAAACCAAATTTACCAAACGACAAAGTGGCATCTGTTACAGACTGACCTATAAGGGAGCTGAGAGGAGCTTTGGGAGAATATGTGGAGAATTTAAGGGCAGTTTAAGAATGATTGGAGAGGGACTATAAGATGATTTACGATTTCTTTATAGAAAACTTTCAGAAAACATAAAGGGGAACTTGGGATAAACTTGAGAAGAACAATGAATGCTAGAAAAATTGAACTTAGCAAAGCGGTGGTAGAGACGGAGAGAAGAAGTGGACGAAAAGAAAAACTAATGGAAAAACAGGAAACAGAAGAGAGAAAACAGAGAGATACAGAATATGCAACAGAGGACGTTGGTGTAAATGGGAAGAATTGGGAACAATAAGGAGAATGGGAAGAGCAATGAGAATGGGCAAAGAACAACTGATGGAAAAGACCACAAAACCAAAAGAAAGAAATGGAAGAAAAGAAAAGGAGGGGATAAATATGCAGGAAGTGGAGATAGAACAAGCAGAACATAGGTAGGCGATTGAAAAAATTTGAAAACTTAAGATAGAACATCAGAGCAAATTAAACGAGAGAACTTGCGGGGCATTTCAGAAGAGAGGAAGGGAAAGATCGAAAATTTCAAAAGAAATCGAAAAAAGACCGCAAGTATAAAAAAAAAACAAGAAAGGAGGCAGAAGAAACAAAAAAAGAGATAGCAAAGATGTAAGAAATGTTGCAGCAAATGGGAGGAATAACGTAGGAAGGAGAAGAATCAATTTGCTTAGGAACAAGTTGAGAGCTGTGTAGGATTTCTGCTATCCTAATACAACTTTTAGTAAACGAAAAGCTACTGCAGGAAATATAAAAGAATTTAAGGTAGGAACAAGTATAGTATCGGATTACCAGTCGATGGAAGATAAAAAGATCGAGAAATGTCAAGATACAGAGACGAAGAGAGATATAGATATGGACAAGAGACACTGTGGAGACCTATAGAAAAGACACTAGAAAAAGACGAACTAAGATAGAGCATAAATGAGGAGTGGAAAAATGTGAAGGAGCTGAAAGTGAAGAAAAAAATATAAAAGAAAATGCAAGGAAAAAAAGATGAAGGAACAGAAAAATACGAAGAAGAAATCAGAGAAATAAAAACGGGGAAGGACTCTTGGAAGGAGATAAACAGAAAGATTGGTTGTTATGAGTTTGAACTTTCACTATCAGAAGAAGCCTGCAAATTTCACAGTGTACAACAGTTTATCCGATGTATCTCCTAGTTTAGTAAGACGGTGAAAATTCTGGTAATGCAACGTTGTATAACACTACCTAAGATTGCCTGTATTTTGGAGAGTGCAATTCATTAAAATGTGAAATCTCTCCACATATTTTTGCATATTTTCGCCATCTTCTTGGTGTTTGGAAGCACTTATTTAATTTTAATTTTAGTTCAATTTGTTGATCAGCTAAAGGTGTGAATACTTATATGCAAAATTATTATCGTTCATTTTTGGTTGTACTCGTATGAGATTTTGTGTATTTTCGATTTGCAACATGGCGATTAAACGGAATTTATTCTTTGCATTTACATATTTTGCATATTTTAAGATGTATTTAAATTTTTGTTAGATTTAATCGATTTAAATTTGAAATTTTAATAAATTTTTGCGGATTTCTATAACGAAAGGAAGATTTATCGAGTTAATTGATGTTTAATTTCATCATTTCCAAACTATTTTATCTTTCTCTTTCTCTACGCTGTTGATGGGTGACAGTTTGGAAGGAAATTGCTCCCAATAGTTTGTCGTTTTCTAATGAACCAATTACTTTTGTTGATGTAGATAGAAGTTGCTAGTGTTTACCGTAATTCCCTTTTTTATTACAAATTATGCAACATATAATTTTGCATATGTGTGCATATACATCAAACCTGTTTGCATATTTTTCACTAATATTTTGCGTATACATGCCATAGAAAACATAATAAACGTTTGTTCGAAAAATATGTATATGCGCATATATTACCATTTCTTGTCTATTAATTGGTACAGGTAGTAAATAAAATTGGGGAAAAAAAAATTTTTTTAGCATTTTTCTTAATTATTTATTTTAACAGTTGATTTTATCGAAAAAGTACTTATAACAATATTTATAGCACATATAAAGAGCTTTGATTACAAAAAAGGAATAAGAAAATGGATCAATAAATCAGAGATATAGTTGATTTTATAAAACTCAACATCCCCCCACTATATACCTACAGTGTGTCCCAGATCGCGTGGGATTGCATGGGTAACTTTCTTATTATTAAAGATAGAGAATATAAATATAAATATAAATATAAATATAAATATAAATATAAATATAAATATAAATATAAATATAAATATAAATATAAATATAAATATAAATATAAATATAAATATAAATAGGGCAATGTTTTGCAGTTTTAGATGCTTATTTAAAATTTCCTTGTAGAAATTCAAAAAGTTGAATAGGTTCGAGGTAAATTATAAAAAAATGATCAAAGTCCTCGTGTGAGATCGAAGGGACTTCAGCGCATTTTTGTGTGGCAGATCAGTGTTTTATTAGCCAATATTGACTCCACCATCAATAAGATCTTGCCGAAAGCTACCACGTTCACTTTGTCGGTACCATTTTCTCACTTACCGTGCACTCGCAATTCGCGTTTGAAGTTTTGACTCCACCATCATTAAAATCCTTTGGGGGTTACCATATTCCCTTTGTCGACACCCACTTCTGATCACCCGCAACAATTCGGATTTGAAGTTTCGACTCCACCATCAGTAAGATCTCGTCGGGGGTTACCACATTCCCTTTGTCGATACACAGTTCCGACGTCCCGTTCATTCGTAATTCACATTTTGGTAGATTTCGCTAAAATCCGGGCATAAAATCGTATTCAACTTTTGGGTACTTCACATAGCTCGACCTTCTATTAGTGACACGAGAAAGAGAGACCGCGATTCGCGCTGTAAGAAACTTTTGGGCGCCCAAAGTCGACTACCCCTCGAAGCGCGCCGCGCAAAAGGTGGTTTATTTCGCCCCTAGGAAAAAAAACAAAATTCCGCCACGCAGGAGTTGTGCGCGTTGACAAGATCTTCCCGACGACACCAATTTGAAAACAATCGGAGAAAAACTGTAGAAGAAGATAGATAAAAACTGAAAAATATCCAGGTTAGTATAATACGCTCGGGGATGGCGTCCAGATTTCGTCGACTCCAAATCTTGTAGCCCCATCCCTAACGTTCTTAATTACACGGCCCCGATAGTTACATGTACACTCCTTGTCTTTTTACAAGCGTTTTTCTACGGGCGCGCATTTACTGCCAGTCAGCCAGCCGACCAGCCAGCCAGCCAGCCGACCAGCCAAAGTGAGATTAAAAGCTACTTTTTACAAAAAAAATTTTTTGCAAAAATGCGCTAAAAAGCAGCCAAATTAGGTAAAGAATTGATACCACCGAAATCCAAAAAATGATCAAAGTCCTCGTGTGAGATCGAAGGGACTTCAGCGCATTTTTGTGTGGCAGATCAGTGTTTTATTAGCCAATATTGACTCCACCATCAATAAGATCTTGCCAAAAGCTACCACGTTCACTTTGTCGGTACCATTTTCTCACTTACCGTGCACTCGCAATTCGCGTTTGAAGTTTTGACTCCACCATCAGTAAGATCTCGTCGGGGGTTACCATATTTCCTTTGTCGACACCCACTTCTGATCACCCGCAACAATTCGGATTTGAAGTTTCGACTCCACCATCAGTAAGATCTCGTCGGGGGTTACCACATTCCCTTTGTCGATACACAGTTCCGACGTCCCGTTCATTCGTAATTCGCTAAAATCCCGGCATAAAATCGTATTCAACTTTTGGGTACTTCACATAGGTCGACCTTCTATTAGTGACACGAGAAAGAGAGACCGCGATTCGCGCTGTAAGAAACTTTTGGGCGCCCAAAGTCGACTACCCCTCGAAGCGCGCCGCGCAAAAGGTGGTTTATGTCGCCCCTAGGAAAAAAAAACAAAATTCCGCGACGCAGGAGTTGTGCGCGTTGACAAGATCTTCCCGACGACACCAATTTGAAAACAATCGGAGAAAAACTGTAGAAGAAGATAACAACTGAAAAATCTCCAGGTTAGTATAATACGCTCGGGGATGGCGTCCAGATGTCGTCGACTCCAAATCTTGTAGCCCCATCCCTAACGTTCTTAATTACATGGCCGGCCCCGATAGTTACATGTACACTCCTTGTCTTTACAAGCGTTTTTCTACGGGCGCGCATTTACTGCCAGCAAGCCAGCCAGCCAGCCAGCCACCTGACCAGCCAGCCAGCCAGCAGCCAGCCAAAGTGAGATATAAGCTACTTTTTACAAAAAAAAATTTTTGAAAATATGCGCTTAAAACTTAAAGTTGATCATTTTCCTTTAGTCCTTATATTCATCGAAAAGTATAAAAGATATAAAAAAAAAATGATCAAAGTCTCGTTGTGAAGATCGAAGGGACTTCAGCCGCATTTTTTGTTGGCAGATTCAAGTGTTTTATTAGCCAATATTGGACTCCACCATCAATAA